ACAGATTCTGGAAAACGTCTAACAGATATGGTATGTTATTTTTAAATGTTTATATTTCAATAATAATGATAATAATAATAATAATAATAATAATCTATTAATTATTTACAGGAAATTTTGGAACAAGTAACTGTTTTAAATTTGGACACCGGAGAAAGGGTACCTCTGAGTATAGCTGAAGATAAATTGCCACAGTGTATCAATCCGTTGTCACTTCATATTATGAGACTTACTTCGGAGTATATAAGTAATTCTAGCCTAGAAAAAGAAAAAGAAAGTGACGAAGAGAGTGTCGACAGTAAAATGTCTAGTATACCACCAGATGAAGATGTATCCGTTGGTAGAGTTCGAAAAAAAACGCAAAAGTTAAAACGATTTTTAGGATCTACCGTGAAAAAAACAATGGACAAAGCAAAATCTATTGCACAAGAAGTATCACATGCAAGGCATAAAGAAGATGTTATGGATATAGTAGATGAAGTATATCCTGGTGAACAGCAGTATATAAAACTAAAAGCGTCTAACAGTCATAAAGGGCCGTATGAATTTAGTTGTTTACAGCATGTTCAAGACTTGAGTGGAGAGCATGTGGGTCCTGTTTGGTGTATGAAATTTTCAGTCTGCGGACGATTACTCGCTACAGCTGGACAAGATCGAGTTTTAAGAATTTGGGTTCTACGCGATGCTTTTGCCTATTTTCAAGATACCCGAACTAAATACAACGCTGAAAAAGTTAGTCCAACTCCTTCCCAAGAATCTTTGGTTTCTCAACAATCCATGGAGGATCCTCATGTTGTGGCTAGTGCCTTTAGTGAAATAGAAGGAACGAAAAGTCCCTTTATGCCAAAGCCATTTTGTACTTATACCGGACATACCTCGGATTTGCTCGACGTTTCATGGTCTAAAAATTATTTTGTTTTATCATCATCGATGGATAAAACTGTGCGACTTTGGCATATATCACGAAAGGAATGCTTATGTTGTTTTCAACATATCGATTTTGTTACAGCAATAGTGTTTCATCCCCGTGATGATCGTTATTTTCTCTCAGGATCTTTGGATGGTAAACTTCGATTGTGGAATATTCCGGATAAGAAAGTAGCTGTATGGAACGAAGTCGATGGACAAACTAAATTAATTACCGCTGCGAATTTTTGTCAAAATGGGAAATTTGCAGTGGTTGGTTCTTACGATGGCCGATGTATATTTTATAATACCGATCAGTTGAAGTATCATACGCAAATACACGTTCGATCAACAAGAGGTAAAAATTCAACGGGTAGAAAGATTAGCGGTATCGAACCTATGCCAGGAGAAGATAAGATTTTAGTCACTTCGAATGATAGTCGTATACGTTTGTATGACTTACGTGATTTAAATTTATCATGCAAATACAAAGGTTACGTTAACGTGAGTAGTCAAATTAAAGCAAGCTTCAGTCCTGATGGACAGTATATAGTTAGCGGATCAGAAAATCAATGCATTTACATTTGGAAAACTCATCACGATTACTCTAAATTTTCAAGCGTACGTAGAGATCGAAATGACTTTTGGGAGGGTATAAAAGCTCATAACGCCGTAGTGACATGCGCAGTATTTGCACCAAATCCAGATAGTATTATTAAACAAATCGAAGAAAGAGAGCAGTGGGAAGGTAAGGAAGACGGAAAAAATTTAGGTGGTTCAACCGTAGATGTTCCTCCTGTTGATCCTGTGGTCGAGCAGCGTACTAAAGGCTGTGGCGGACACGTCCTCGTGAGTGCAGATTTCAATGGCTATATAAAGGTTTTTCTAAATAAGACGAAACCTAAGCACAGTTCCCTACCAGCATCTGCTCTCGCGTAACACAACACTAGATTGATTTGTGCACTATTGTTAATACAAAAAAGAAATAATAAGAACACCAATATTATATACAAATATTTGTTTTACCACAGTGAATTATGTAGAACTCGCTGTATGCTGTTTTTAAGGTAAATACGATTGTATCGAATACTTTCGAAAGCAGAATATTTTGAAATGCATGCCAAAAGGCTTACTTCACGATAAGAAAGCTTCTAAGGTATAGTTAATAATACTAAAATATGCATAAATTTGATGCTCAGGCGATATTTTGGATTATTTTCTTGTTAAGGTGAGCAACAAATGTCTGTTTTTATTTATTATAAATTGAATAACATTTGCATACATAATTTTTACTAAAGCTTTAAGTAAGCCATATAAACCGTTATAGTTTTATAAGATATCGTATTTTTAACACTTTTTTAAATTCGACGTATTTTTATTGATTTTTCTTTCTCATATTATATCTTTTCGGTGCTGGTCCACTGTGGTCACGTAGTTATATATGGAAATCTTGCCGAAATTATATTACGAAATACATATGGTTAACATGGAATTGTTCGTTTCGATTATATTTATAAACAGAAAGAGCACCTTGGTGAAGAAACAAAGTATAAATACAAGCACGCAAGCGATGGCCGAATAGAAGAATTTAACGAATTGTATAAATTATTGTGAACTTGTACTCGATGATCCATCGTTAGGCAAATGTTGGATAGTATCTAGAAAGTTTGATGAAAATCAAATTGGATTTTCAGATCCTAATGGTTTCTAAAATATGTTTTAGAACTTTACCGTGATAAGATAGCGTAATACATCGAAGACAATATATTAATAAAAAAGAAGGTGGTTTGAAGTTAAAACGCATCATTGTTAAGTTTTTGTACGATTCACACGATTCACACTTTAGAAATTACTTCACACGTTCAATACGAAATTCGACATTACTATTTGTATAACTTTAATTTATACATACCGTATGAATTTAATCAACCGATGTGAATACAAGGTTTACCTTGTACGCGAACATTACGTAAAAGCTGTCATAATACTCATAACACTCGCTATGTTCAATGTTCGACACGATGTCGTAACTGTCATTTTAATCTGATTTAAAGGTATACGAAATACCTGTTTTGCAACGTGTCAATTATAACGGCAGAGATATATACCGTGTACAAGGGACGACGGCTTAATGCTGTCTCAAACTCTGCATTTTACGATTCTGTGTATTTGATAAATCATGTCTCAAAGGATGATGCGCTATTCAGTCGCGCGGTGAAGTACGATGGTTGATCTTTGTGTCACTAACATTATAGCGCTTGCAAAGTCGCGAAAGCGTTGAAACCATCGAATCACAACCTACGGTGTATTTTATTTGTATCGTAAATTTAATGTAAATACGCAGGAAAGAAATTGTAGGTATTTTGTGTAAATGCAATTGTAAATATATTATTCGAGCGATAGCGTAATCGCTTATTAACGATTGTCATTCCGACAGCAGCGTGCACAAAACTATCGTTTGTGATCTCGTAGTAATCAGTAATCATGTAATATATTAATGTATCAATAGTGTATTCATGTATGGAAATGTGTGTTTTTTAAGTTGCCGTCACACAGTAATATACATAAATTTACATCAATCATTAGAAATGTCTCTTCATCTATCGAACCGTCTCACGTCATTTCTCCCCTTCGTTCATTTCTCGCTAATTTCGAATTCGAATAAAAACTAAGTCAATGTTGTTCGCATTGTTAGGAGACCCAGTCTCTGCTCATGTTCACATCGAAGAAACCGAACAATGATTCTTGCTAATAAGATTCTATCAATTGTTACACACAAAGGCACGAGAGTACCGGCTGGTACTTATCTATAGGTCAGCAATGTGTGCGCGGTCAGTCGGTCGGTCGGTCGGTCGGCCGGTTGACTGTCAACTGATTCACCTATTTACAACGTTCATACGTCTGGACGCACATATGCACAAGTATTGTCCCGCGTAATTAGGATGTGGAAGTGTGCTACAACCAATGCTTCGCAAAGTTCCATGCGAAACAAACACGTCAATGTAATTACGAACACATTAATTCTCGTTCTGTATGGTACTCGAGTTATATAAGAAGTTGAATTGTAATACATTAAAGCTTTAACGATGAATTTGTTCAATCTGATTCAATGTAGATCGTAATGCACAATTTCAACGTCGTATTATCCGATGTCACTGTTTAATCTTAATTTTTGTTCATCTAAATAATTTTCCGACGAAATATCGACGAGTAACGAAGGCAGATATTACCGATTAAGGAGAGATAAATTTGGCGGAGGAAGAACGAAAATAAGAAAAGACGATAAATAGCTATTATTTAACGTGTCACGAATTTCATAACTTGGTGGTGTTAAACTACCGAGTTAATAACGTTGAATAAACATGTCTGAATGGAGTTGCAGGTTTAACCGTATGGCATTACCCTACACGTTAATCTTGCACGTCTACGAAGTTAAGGCGTTCCATCGACTATACAGCGTTGGTCTGCAGAGTGGATAGCAGGTACACAGAAAGATGTTAAAGACGCATGTCGCGGTAGTATCATGTGTCTGACAAGTCGAGTCACACGCATACACGCAGCGACAGGGATAACGAGAAGGACAAGAACGACGAATAGGAGCACTACCACGACCACGTCCACAAGAGTCATGGTCGTGGTCGTCAGGAGTGTGTGGTTCGAACGAGAAGAGATATCCTCCGGTTCGTGAGGGACCTATATAACTGTACTGTGTGTCTGGGTCAGGGGGCGGGCCGCCACGTTTATAGTATACTCTCTATATCGGACAGGTGTACCCCATTCCGACTCCACGAGTTCTCGCGTGCACCATCGAGCCACTGCCAGGCCGCAACGTGTCTTTCTAACTGCCGCGACAGATATCGTGGCGCATCGCGGTAAACACGAGGAATCAGTCGCACGGGTAGCCTTGGAGGACACTTAACGAGTCGTTTGGAAGAGCACGAATCGGCTGCAACTGGCTTTGCAAACGTCTCTCGGGTCCTACCTACACGCGCGTTTGTCGGTTTCGTCCTCGTTTTCGCCACTGAAATCGGTCGAGATCAACTGTCTGTGCTTTAGAGAGCCTCCGACCGCGCGGGTACGCGGAGATTTCTTGGCACATGGTGCTTCAATCAGTGCGGTGCGTTGCTCGAACCCACCTTCTCTTTCTCATCGCACGTCTTTGACACGGAATCTGGAAAAGAGAAGTCTGTTCACCTGCGTTTCCACGTCTACTTCGTACAATTGGATAAACGTAAGATATTTTTAACCTGATCGGACCGTGCGTAATTTCGATAATTCCTTTGTAAATAATAGTTTACGTATGGCACCTGTTAACGTTTCATGGCAATCCATATATCGCTGCAGAAGTATTCTCGATTACGTATATTATCCTGTTCTCGATCGTGATTCGATAAGCAATCGTGCACGACATCTGGACATGTTTACCGTGCAACGTTATAAGTTAAGAGTAACGATCGCGTGGTAGGGCAAAATGTAATTATCGATGAACCATTAATTATTTAGTTTAGGTTATTTACGATCGTTAGTAGAACTGTCGTGGTTCGTATTTGCTCGGAGCATCGATAATGAGAGAAGGCATCGAAGACCGGAGGAAATACACATATGATTTACCATAGGACACGTACCGCGTTATAGTCAACCACGTGGTGACCGCTTTCATTCTATCGAATGTGTACACATGTGCGGCAACAGTGACGGCTGCTAGTCGGTCAAGATTAAATCTCACGGAGTCGGCACAGAAATCACCGACGTATTCGTGCTATCCTATTCCGTTGATTTCGGTTGCGTTTATTTTCTTCTTTATCGATCGCAAAATTTGTTCGTAAGGTAATGCGTGAAAAAGTGGTACGTTAGCTGTTTCTAGTCAAACGAAACTCGCGTAAACGATTAACGATTATACTTTGTCGGTCGATTATATTTTTATATATTATACGTTTAATTGGAACATTCGTGCAATTACGATTGTTCATACATTTATAGAATAATTAACGACATCGAGCCTCTTAACAATTTTTATGTAGTTACTCGATCGGTATACGTGGAAACAGGATCGATCGTGCGAAGATAATTAGATCGTGAATGACGACAGTCGTAAAATCTAACACGCAGGAAAGCAGAAGGTAGCCGATGCTAACGATGGACGATATTCATTCATTGTATACCTTCAATTGCGGTATCTCCTACGATCAATCAGCAATACGACACCTTTACCAGGAAAGTGCATCGAGTTGCCATCAAGCTGTCAGTTTGCTCCATTACGCTCAATTACCATACGCTCGCTAGGCTGCAGAGGATACAGTAACGTAGATTTTGCACGTATACGTTATACGTGTGTTCTATACGTGTACCATTGTCGATCATTAACGAGCGTGTTTCCGCTTTCAAAAGATAAATTTTATTGCACGTTAATTTTATTAATATGCTTACCAGTCACGACGGTTGGTCGATTAATTATCTATTAATTGCACTCGCCTTTATAGTCGAACCACCGATAAAGGGATTTTGTTCTTTACGTGTAATTTTATAACAGTTGACGGTGGTTAACTATGTTATGGATTACAGTAACGCGATAAAATTGGGGGTTTGAATTTAAGGGTTGAAGTGGTAGTTTTCTGAAAAATAATTGATATTTTAAGTACAACCAATAGGTTTTTGTACGGTAATTCATTGAATTTTTTTTTTAATACTTTACGATAGGTAAATATAATCTTATTAAGTATATTTATTATTTGATATATATGTCATTGAATTATATATTATTAAATATAACGAATAGGTAGATAGAAACTAGTTATTAAACTTTGAAAAATATTCACTTACACGGATAAAAATAGATTTAAAAATGTCAATCTAAAAGTATGAACATAATTTTCTTTTTTAATTTTTATAATTTTAGTTTGACAAAGAAAAAGTAGTTAAAAAAAATTAAATACCAAGTTTAAGAAATATAAAAATAACTTGTTTTCCTGCAAAGAGATTGACAACTTTTTCAATAACTTTAGGTTAACGAAGGAAAAACAATGATTAAATATGCATTTGTCAGATATTAATAATCTAAAGAATTAAGTGTTAAAATTTTTTAAAATATACGAATACTCCGTTTTCATAAGAAAGATTAAAATTTGTAATAATCGTAAACTTATAAAGAAAAATTAATTCTTAAATTTCCGTTTTAAAGTTTTAAAGATATTAAAAACTTAAAAAATTAAAAATCCTAGTTTTAAAAATATAATTTCCTTTTTCGTAAACAGATCAATAATTTTTAATAGCACTAATTCGTAGAATTTTTTCTTCTTAAAATATCAACAATTTAAAAAATTAAATATTCGAAATTAAAAACACAAATACGTTTCCTTCCTCGATGAAATTTTCTCTGGAAAAATATAAACTTTTCATCAAGAAATTGACAATTTTTAATAACTTTATATCAACAAAGAGAAAGTGATTACGTTTGTTTCTGGAAAATGGTAAAACTGATAAAATTAAAAACCAAAAATAGTCTTCGTCGTAAGTAGATCGGCAATGTGCCATATTACCGATCGAATGCAACGAGCCATTAAATCGTTACGTATTACTATATCGTGTATACACATAGATTCGGAAAAATGAATTTAATTAATCGAACAATCCAACAGTCGTATGTTTCGATAAGCGAAACGATTTCAGCAGTGTTGTTCGTTCTCGTATCGCGATAAAGACAAAGAAAGGGGAACAAGAATATATTCCGAGTCTTTTCCCATATGGGTCACTATTAGCTACGCACTTATTATGCGAATGCCTGACTTCGGAATTACCACACCGCTGAAACCGTTATATGTATTTGGCACCATGCCACATCTTCGGCGTGCTCGATTCATGGTTAGCATGGAACAACGGACGTGTAAACAGCCGGCGGTGATTTTTATTCAAGCATGGCCTCGTAGCGAAAGAAAGAACAGGTGTCGCGGTCTATCGTGGCACGAATCGCTAAGCGGAATAATAACTAATGTATGCCAGTAATAAACAGACGCTAGTAAGTTTGCCACGTTAACGGAATTCGGTACAGATCGCGAGTGACTCGCGTCATCGCACAAAAGGGAACTAGGTACCTCCTCTACGCTGTACAGACGATCCTAACCTAAAAGATTACAATTTACCGCTCGAGTCTAGGTGTCTAAGGAAAAGTTGACCATATGGCGAGCAAACGCAAGAATTTCCGAAAGGTTGAGAAGTATATAGCCCGAAATCAGGGTCAAAGTATCGTATAGAGATCAATAGGGACTCGAAGTGGATTGCTCGTGGCCCTTGAGAAATTCGCAGCGCGCTGCCATCGAGGCAAATGACAAGTCAAATCCCAAATTGGTGATTTGTCGCACGTATCGTCTATTGTCTGACCTGGAATAGGACGGGAATCTATTGCCGGAGCCGATTTTAGCATTGGATCCGCGTAAGTGGATTCGGTGTACAGGCTGAAGGTCGATAGGTGAAAACCTACTTGCCTACATTCATCGATACTCTCGTGCGCGTCTCGAATTCGTTGCATGATTATGCTTGATCGAGTCATCTGCTGCACCGCGATTTTTCCACCTTGAATGTTTGCAAGATATCGAATGGTTAACCGGTGACGCGAAATATTCGCGAATTTCAGTAGTTGCCTCCAAGTTGCTCGCGTGAGTGCTTATAACCTTCGATCGAACACGGTTTCCACGCTTGTTTCGATATTTTTGAACGAGCCGAGGTACAACGTCGCGAACGAGATGGCGGTCGTTTCGATAGTGAAATCATTTTAGGTTGCTGCGCTGTTATTTCTCGGTCGGTGACGGAGAATCGGCGATTGTCGGCGAAGACGACGCGTAAAACGGTGTAGAAGATTTTTGTTCCGAAACGCGACACGGGTTTGACGAATTCGGTTCATACCTATAGTTGTCGATCATGGCAGTCTGGTATCATGGAGTACAACGAGGTAACGGAGCGAAAACCCGGACATTCGACAGGAATTTGGGACAGGTGGCCTAGTGGTCGCATGACGCGAACGTGTCTGATAATTGACGATTAAACACGAGCGAGGTGTCCAATGATGGACCGGTTCGTTCGTTTAATGTTCCGTATTTTCTACTAATAATTCTTTATGCCGTTTCACTTGTACGTTCGTCGAGATTAACGAAAAATACTATTTCATATCGTATTGCTCGGTATTCCATTGTTTCTCGAAATTCAATTATAAATTCAATTAATATATAAATATTGTACTTGGTAGGACACGTAAAAATATATGTACAATGGGAGTAGTTGAAAGATATTATTTTTATTTGATACATAAAGATATTACCGTATTTATTATTCGTTATAAATTGTAATTAACGATAAAATAAATATATTATAATAATTTGTCAATGTGTGTTACAGAATATTATAATATATATATTTGTAAATATTATTAACATGTAATATATGTACATCTTAAAGAATATGTTAAAGACAAAGTATGATTTAAATGCTACGAAATAATTTACATTATAAATTATACAAGATAAAGTAAAATAAAAATATGGTACTTACCATAAATTGTAATCGATTATAAAGTAATTTCGTTAACACGATTATTTTGAGCGTAGAAGCATTAAACGAAATTATTATGTTAAGTAACTATGAATAACTTGTTCGTTAGTAAGCTTAAATTTCAACGAAGGTAATTACTTTTTCAGCGGCACGATTACAATACTTCACCGTGGACGCTAACACGGTATGCGGTGGCGAATCTTCATTTTAGCCTGTCTCCTACTAAAGGGGGTGAGTAAATATTCTTCCTTTTATTTTTCAACAAAATTATTTCACTCTAACATTAAAGCTATCAAACCTGTCAAAATCAGTGACATATTTCAATTTCTGGCAGAGTTCATGCCAACTTTGGTTAATTAATTATTGTTATTGCGTTATTCTAATTATTATTTTTATCTATATGTGATATATTTAAATACACGTTACAAGTTAGTAGTTTCAGTACTAAATATAATAATTTTTATACTTCGACTTTATAATAATCCTAATAACTTTAGAAGAATTATATTGAAGAAGAAGAAATTGTATGACATTGCACAAAATTACAAAAATTACTATTTTATCATTAACCCTTTACAACCGGTAATCATTTTCGAAAATTATTTCCGATCAGTTATTATCATAGTTATTATTATTGCGTAGTTCAACAAGTCCGCAATGAAACCGAAGAAACTAGGGATTTTTTTTTAACGTCTGCTTCTCTAATCTCTGATAAAAATAAAAATAAATTTGTTACAAAACCTTAGTCCAATCGCGTTGAACCGAAAACTGCGAGCACTTGACATACCCAAACTACAAAAATCTCTTCTCGAATTTTTACTAAAAATAAAAGCCAAACGTACTATAAATTCTTAGCTCAATCACATTTCTACTTCTTAAATTCTCGATGAAAAAATAAAAACCAAACTTACCACAAAATCCATGTCCAACGACACTGCACCGAGGACCGCAGAGTTAAAATTCCTGTGCCGATAAACGTTAATACGGGAAACGTTACGCAATGCTCGAGCATACATAGAGAATACGATTTGCGAGTGGGAAGAGGCTGCGATGGCGTGAAAGAATCGAACGTTGGATAAACGGGATCCCTTATGGACGGAAACGTACGTGAAAGACCGAATCGGTGGTCAAAACCGTGCGGAGGTAAGAAAAACACGCGGCATTACTACAAAGGGGGTAGGTCGGTATGTCTGCGTGGGTAATTACTACATTATAACCCAGATATCGCGGTGGGTACATAGCCTGCGATGCCGTTACCCAGTGCTCTGACCCAGAGCTAAGGGCGACTCGAGACCCGGTCGATGTCTTGAAATGGTGCGCGGCGTTCCGATCCGGCTCATCCACGTCTACTACGAAGTAACGTTTTATCGTCGGACCTTCACCACGAATCGGTCTTACAAGATTGCGCGCAAAAATCGCACACGAAACGACCGGTTCCGTGATCTTACCTTCCCACCCTGCATTCTTGGGGACCGACACGATTTCAATTCGTTGCTTACTTTTTTTCCACCGCTGCTCGGACAACGTTCATTCTTCCAGACCGCACCAACATTTTAAATATTTTCGCCTCACCGATCAAAATTAATCACCCGCGACACGCGTTATTATCCTTGCCAAATATTACCTACGCCACCATTTCCCCAAACCCGACATTTTTTACCTCGCACACCGTGATCATTTAACGCTCGACTTAGCGTCCCTGAATTTCCCAATTTTTCGTTCCAAATTCTCTATTCGACGTTATTGCGTTCGTTATTGCCACGATTTTTGGATTAATAACCGTGTGATCGGGTTTTCGATATTTTCCATACACCACGGATTTCCGAAATCGAGTGGAAAGTGGGAATTTTTCACCTCGGATGTTGTAATGATTTTATATTAAATTTGCTATCAAATTTACATCAAATTTTTCAAGGTTTATTTTCAGTCAAGTTTTTGTTCGAAATTCTCTATTCAACGTTATTGCGTTCGTTATTGCCACGATTTTTGGAATAATAACCGTGTAATCGGGTTTTCGATATTTTCGATACACCCCGGATTTCCGAAATCGAGTGGAAAGTGGGAATTTTTCACCTCGGATGTTGTAATGATTTTATGTTACATTTTCTATCAAATTTACATGAAATTTTTCAAGTTTTATTACTTAATTTTTCAGTGCAGATATTGCGATATTTGATTTCGGAAAATTTTTGGTTTCAGACGTTACGATGATTTAATGTTTAATATAATTAAATTTTACAAATTTGCGTAAAAATTTCTGCATTTAAATGTTAAAGTTATCTTATTTGACACTTGATATGATGATTACATATAATAATAATAGCACAAATTTTTAATCTCTATAATATGCAGCAAAGTATAGCTCGCACTATAATTTCTAATATTTTTCCAATAATTTAAAGTGCTATATTTTTAAAGGGAATAACAGTATTGTGCGTTAAATTTGATTTTATAGGGCAAGGTTAGTCTCCTTGATTAAAAAAAATTTCCATTTTCCAAAAATCGATATTTTCCATTCGTCGATTATTCGTAATTTTTGCGGTGAAATTTGGTGTCAACGCACCAAGCAACCGAAGAAACCTGCGCCGTGATTGTTCGCGTAAACAGGTGAATTTTCAAGAAAAAATGTAAATTACGATGAATCCTTCCCGATGTTACTAAAACAAAAATCTTTCATATCGGTACATACGTAAAATTTGCATATATTACATTAATCTCGAGAAATTCAGAAAATTATCGGATGTGCTATCATTTTGTCTGTTTTTATTTGATTTCTGCTTAATTTCATACGTAGTCATTTGACCAGTCAAATCAGCCATCATGTCGGGCATTAATTCGATGCTATTTAATAATGGTATTTAATGCTTTATGGTATCGGCGTGATAACGGTATTTTATCATTAACATATACCAATATTAACATACATTACCATATATTCGTATATACGCGTAAATTGAGCAGTAAAAGATTTCGAATTCTTGCCTAAATTCTTATTCATTCCGTTTGCCATAATTTCCTCAACGCTCTAATTTTCCTATTATTTACGACGTCGATTTAGACTCGCGATTAATAAATCATAAGCACTGCCCTGGTATGAAGCACCGGATTAATTAGCCGTGCTTGCCATTTGGAAATAACGTTTCGCGTTTAACGTTCTTTTATCGACGCGAACTTACAAAGTAGACCATTAAAATGTTACGGATGTAACGAATGGTGTCTCGATTATACATACCGCGGTTACCTGGCGTGCAACTTTCTGTTTTGTTACTTAATACGTATAACGTGGCCATGCATCGGGCAAGATTTTTCACGATCACGTTTCAAAGAAAGTTGTCCACTATTTATGTTAGCGCAGGTATAAACGACAGGTAAGGCGGACACACGTTCCTTTCCCGATCGTTAGTTCGCATTTTTGCCTAACGATATTTTATGGCCAATTTTAGCGAATTATATTAGACGGTGTACGACGCGATGGCGTGATAGTTCTTGCAGAAAGTGCGCCGATGAATGAAGCCAAGTTCCAGTGAATGAAATACCTTGCTAAGACGATAGGAGAGATTCTCGGAGGTGCGCGAGATCGCTCGCAGCGGCGCGATAATCATTACCCTTCGTGACTACTATAATTTTCATTCTTTTTTTGTCAAATAGTCTGGCGATCGGTATCGGTGATCCACGCAGGCTCGGAGTAACGGAAAATTAATCACGTCGTTGTTACGAGAACAACCACGGGTTAGTCTGCTCGTGTATCGTTATTACGTTCCGTAATGAAACGTCTTTAGCACTGGCACCACTCACATGGACAATGTGTGTTTAAATATCGTAGACGATGTATAATAGTAATTAATCTCTCGCGAACGAGAAGTATCAAGTATACGAAGTGCAAATTAAGAGATAACGGCCTACGGAATATGCGTACGTGTATTATAGGTAAAACAAACAAAGTGAGAAATTCTTGAAATAAAAAAAGTATTCAGTGTGGTAATTAATATAATAGAATTATTTTTTCAAGTAATATGAGTATTTGATACGAGTAATTAAGTATTTAAGTCGTGTCATGCTTGAAGTAATCGAATACATATTAAATTATCGCGAGTAACAAATCGAGGATAATAAAATCAAAAATTAACTCTCGACACAGTATGAATGTTTTATATATATTGGAATGAGTGGAACAAGTGTGCATGGGATGGAAATATCTAATGAATTCAGGTTACTATGATAAACGAGTATGCGTGTAATGATCGAGGTGTGTGTGAATTGTGTATGTCAATGTAACGTATGAAAGAAGAAAGAAAAAAGATAGTGATTTGACATACGTTAGTTGCAATTGAGTATTAATAGAGAGAAGACGTGTGAGCATGTGATAGTGATAAAATAATTCTTATTTCAACCCAATATTTGTGTTTGATAATCTTTGAAATTAAATAAATAATTGTTCTCATTGTTATTCAATTTCATCCACTACTAAGAATTGTAAGTACTCGAAGAGATTTTTTTAGATAACGATAACTATTTTTAGAAAACGGCAATAATTAAAATAATAAAATCGTTTTCTAGGTACTTAGGTATTTAAGCCGAGTTACGGTAAAAGCAGACAATTATTGTAGATAACGAACTGGAGAAAAGTTTTTAAATTAAAAGGTATCAAACACGATAACTGAAACAAAAAATTATCTTTGCAGTAATGCAGTAATGAGAATAATTAAATATATTATATGTTAAATCGCTTTAAAGAATTCTTTAATTAAGAAATATAAGCAGAGAATTAAAATAATAAAATTTCTTTCTGTCGTAATGTAGTTATTAATTATATAAGTCAACTATATATGTATATACTAGATTGACTAGCAAGTCGTATTAGATATTTGTAATAAAATTGAAGCTCTGCTATTTTTCAGTACAAAGCAGTATCCCTATCGTGTTAACGCTAACAATAAGCCTACCATGGTCAAATAACCGGTGAATGGAAAAGAAGCAAAAGCTTTAAAAAATGGAATAACGGGAGACATCGAGAAAATAATTATACAAATATTGGAAGAAAAATCGCGAAGACGAGTGATCAGGTGAAAACGTTGAACGCGGAATTTTTAACGAAAATTTGAAAAACGGTGAGTTAGACCATAATAGGTTTAGCGTTGAATATAACGACACGTTAATTAGAATTACACAATTATCTTTACAACGGTGAAAAGTTATAGATTAAAATTTCATAAATGTTTTGTATCAAAAAA